AATATTAAAAGGCGCAGCAAGACTCAACGTCAACGAGTTCAGTCGCCGTACGTAGAAAAATAACCTCTTTATTACCATAAATAAAAGCCTGGAAAGATTAAACCCAATCAGACTTCCATTCATAACTCCAATAGGCGTGTGACAGAAAAACGATTGGGCTTGTTAGCGAATGAACCCGTGACCTCTGGCATCAAATTCAAGCATCCTACTTCTGTGCGATAAAGTATTCCTACGGTATAAGATTTTCTCCAGTCTTTTCACCAAGATATTTCAGGCTTCCGATGATTTTTTCCTCGTGCAGCATTGAAGAACTTTTGATTATTTGAAGTAATGACTGGGTGACTTTCTCCAGATGATTTAAAATCTGACATATTGTAATCAATTCTCAAATGAGCATTTTATTATACAGTGACCGGACGTGATGAAGATCGTCAATCAAGAAAATCACCACATTTGTTTGATTTTGTCTCATTTTTATTTGTTGTTTCTTAGCAATCCCGACGTGATAGCAAGAAAAACATCTAGAAAACGTGCGCATTTTTTTAAAACCATAAGTGAAATCAGCGTATAATCTTTGCGAATCCAGGATTATGCAGTACGGTACTCGGGTACTGTATTTTCTCCAGAAAGTAATTAAGCCAAATGGCTTAGATCCTCAGTACCCACGTCGAATGTGCCCATTGGCAACACAGCTTCACTCCTGAATCCCTCTTTTTTTTTAATTACATACTGGGTGGGCCTAAAAATCTGAGTCCAAATTTTAAACTTTTGGAATGGCCAGATGGATCATGTGAAAGCAGTTGAAGATTTGTACGTGAATTAGAATGGTGATGCTATTTCATTTATAAATTTGTCCAAGTTGAGGATCTATTGTTGATGTTTTTTGTTTCAGTTTTTGGAAGGAAAAAAACTATCAAGTCACACTGCGTTGCACCGGAATTTTAAATCGTAAGAATTGATATTATAGATGGAGTAAATTTCTGGTTTTCATGGAACATTTTGAAGCAATCAAAAGTTTAAACTTGAAACCCCAGCTTTTGCTTTGAAAATATTTTTTTTCCAGACCTACGTGAATTTGAAGTAACCAAAGTTTGTAATCTGGGTCAGAGTTTATGAGCCGGAGCAGCTGTAAGCCAGAACTTCGTTCACCAGAAAGTTTTTAAGCCAAGACCACATTTACAACTTTTTTTTTTGGGAAAGTTTCCATCCAATTGACTTTTGTGACCATGCCATGGCACTTGGGACCATATCATTTCAAAGGAAATTAAACAAGCTTTTATTTAGTTTTTTTTCCACCGTAGCTTGATTCTCTACCAAGAGAATCGTAATTTAAAATTTGCTTCACTTTTTAGGCCAACCCATTATATACTGCGATATAGCTTGAGAATTTCGAGATGGAACTGGAGCAGTTTCCAAGGAACTGCTCCGGTATGTTTATTGCAGTTTCGGGGCGAAATATGAAGAGTGTGTGTGTGGGGGGGGGGGTGGAATTCTCCGGAATGCAAATTCGCGTCGGCATGCGAAATGCGAACAGCGGCGACCCGGGCACGTTTTTTTCGCGCCCCGTCGTTGCGCCGCATGATGTGTTTCTTTCCTAGATTGCGTCCGTCCGCCGGCGCCGAAGAAGCGTGATTCCTGTTGCCGGGTCGACCTGGACTCGTCCGGCTCGCGGACGGAATCGGTACTTCCGTACTTTCGTCCGTGTGTTGTGCTCTTCCTTTCCCCCCCGTGTATACCTTATAAGTCGGAGATGTTCCACGAAGTTTCGAAACTCAATTTGCAATTTTCAAGTGACTGTCGACCGCGCGCGAGTTTAGATCAGGAGCGCTTCCTTATTTCGGACTCGACTGTATAACTAGGAAAAAAATTGGATATTCTGGCGCAAAAACGCGGCGTATACAAAAAAAATTACAGTTGCATTCGATTTGTGATTTCTGTATACTGTAATAGGCTCTTGTATACTTTTTTAAGATTATCTTCTGCTTTGCAAAAGCAGTCTGCGGGTTGCTTGAAATAACACTCAGCAAATAAAAGATTGCAGACTGAACTATGCTTTATTTAAAAAATAAAATGTGTATATATACCGGTACTTGAACCTCGAGGAAGTGTTGGTTCCATATCTATAAATTCAAAAATGTTGAGCATCATCTCAAATATACGCTGCACTTTCAACAATTCGATACTTTAACTTTCTCAGATTATATGAAACATTGTAACAGCAGTCAGCGGGTCGCCGACTGAGTGGTGCTTGAATGAACAAATATTTAAACCTCCAGGAAGTGGTGTTTCCAAATCCACGACTTCAAGAAACCCTTGTGCATTTTCTCAAATATGCAGTATACTTCACCTTCAATCAATCGATCCTTTGAACCATTTCTCAGAATATTTTTCGGGTGAAAATCGTGGCATTTTATGGTCAAAGTAAAATACTGCGAGCATGTGTTTTTGTTTTTAATTCGATAAATGCTTCTGTTACATCACGTAACGTTGGATATCATGGATGCGTCAGTGCTTCTGCCAATTCAAATTAATTTTTCGTGGGATAATGAATCCAATGCTTGCACACTTGAATCTTCCGTGACCTTCAGCGTTGAACATGGGGAGACCCATTTCGAGCTCTTTTTCAAGCTAAAAAGTGTGACATTTTGGTGAAAAAGGGCTTCTGATGAACTGTGACGATCTCTAGTGACGGAAAAAGCCCGGTGACCACAAGTGATTGTGTTTAAGGACTTATGGACCATCCCTTGTGCAAGTGATAGTGAGTGTGTGTGTGTGTGTGTGTTTGTGAAAGGAAGTGTGTTTGTATGTGTGCTATTCTCTGACGAAGCTCTCTCCGGTCGACGAGATGCTTCCAGGCCTGATTGTAAGACGATGTGTTGACGTAGGATTTATTTGTTTCCTGTGATAAAAAAAAAAAGACTGACGAATAAGTTTCGAAGTATTCGAACCTTCGCAAAACCAAGCGCAGCGCGTGTTCGAAAAATTAAGAAAAAAATGAATATCGTAATGGTAATTTTAAATACAGTATACATCTCTCGCCGCTACAACGATTTTGTTTACAACAATATTCTCCCTGAAATGTGTCTTTTTATGGACATTCCGCCAATGTGATGATCCACTCCACGTCCATATTCTCCGTGTTGAAAATCGCTTCATTCGCTCCCCTTAATTTTTTTTTGCAGGTAGTCCGCGTAAGGTGTTATTAGTCTTTGAAAAAGGTGTTATACGAATTATGATAATTTTGCACATTTTTCGAACTCGTTCCTGAAGGTATCTTATTCCGACTTCCCTTGACTAACCGAAGTGCGCCATTGTCAGACACAAAGGCATTGTTCCACATGATAGTCCTGTTATTTAAAGATATTTTCAAGGATACGTTCGACAATATAGTCATTTTTTCTGTTTTCCACTTAATCCGAGGAAAAGCGCTTTTTAAAATTTCCCTTTGCTATTACTGCATTCGTATGCCTTGCAGTTTTCAACACCTCATTTTCAAACCCTTCGTGTTCGTTCATGCAAAGGCGCTAACTGTCGCTGCTACCATAACTTTCAGAACTTTCTTCTTGATGAAATAATCCTGGATAAAAATCGTAAATCGTGGATTACGCGGCAAGCTGAACGTGAATATATTTTCCAGCGCTGATGGGATAGTTTGTTCAATTCGGCGTTTGTTCTTGAAGCGATAATAATGAAAAGCTCGCGTGCCCTTGTGCCAGAAATAGGGTATGAAAGGGTGCACTTCTACGGGTTTCCCTTCAAGTATTGAGTCACAACTTTGGTCGGTATGAGTGTAATTTGTTCCTGCAATTTTGTTTATAAAAGGGTGGACCACGAAACAAAAATGAACCGATCGGCATGCACTCAAATTAAAAATGAAGCTCAAGAGGAACGTTGCCATTTCCTATCTTACGAGAGTTTTATTTTGAATTTTGTCCCTATTTTGCGTGAAATTCATTGATTCGTGAATAGACAAGCAGGCTAAACTGTTCGGCTGTCGAAATTGATAATTTCGATAACATTATGTGAGAATTGTTTTCAAAATTTTCCGTGAATTATTTGCCAGGACGGCTGAGAGATCGAAAAAGATTTCAGTGGCGGAGAAACTCAGCTTATCTCGATCAATTCCGAAAAAATAAATTCTCAATTTTTTACGGTTCAAATGTTTTTTGATAAGAGAATCTGCGTTGAGATAATAAAAAGAAAATTTCCAAGTCGTTTTTTACAAGTTTGAACTTGAAACGGAAGCGCTAAATCCTGCACCGGATCAAAATTTATTTTCCTTTTCTTCAATATCCTCATTAATAATGGGTCAAAACAAATCAAAAAGTTACTTGACGACCCTGAAATACGTTATCATTACATTATAAATAATTACTGAATATTTCCCAGCCTGCCATTTGCGAATCGCTCGAAGACACGCAAATTCGGGACAGCCCCTGTGATCCTATTCGAAAAGCCCGTGTGTTTTCGTTTTAAATTGAAGTGCTATTCAAATGAATGTGCGTTGAGAATTAAATTTAACTTTCTCCGGAAGATAATTCGATGATTTTTTTTAAACTATCTTATCTTTTATGGTCCACAAGGTATGTGTTCGAAAACTGTTCCATCACAGTTTTCTGGTCCACCCTGTACTAATACATGAAGGATGGTACTTTCGGGTTGTGAATCGGAATGATTAAACGGTCCCTGGACCCCTCTGTGAATAAAGTGCCTGTCTCGACCTTTTGTTCTTCGTTAAACTTTTTTTCCCCCGAGTGTACGGCTGCGATATTTCGTTATGGTGTAAAAGCTCAACTCTTGCGAAATACTTTTTCAAATACCAAAGAAATATTTTCTACGTAACAAGCTGAAAAAATCTGCAGCGATCCTTTTTAATAACGTTCCAGTCGGCGTCAGACGAACTAATCGTAGCGATTCGAAAGTTAATTTCAGAATTTCATTCCGCTTCGAGCATGGTGTGAATGTTCAATATCATTCGTGTTCCTTTCTTCGTGTACTGTTTTGACGATCAATGCCAGGAATTCATCGCGCAAATAAGTGCTCTCGTAAATTTGCTTGAGAATTTCGGGATGAATATTCCAAGTTTTTCGTTGTGAAATGACCAACGAATGATTCCCGAGTCCGTCATGAATGGAAATTACAGAGCTACGTCCAAGGACCCGACTCCATCGTGGTGCAACTTGACTGAATATGTCCCAGGGTATGTTCATATTCGTGAATTTGTGAGAAAATGGCATGCTCGGGTAACTTGGAATAATATCGACAAACATTTGAGCGAGTTTTTCCCGAAATCATGCACTGAATCATGAAATTAGACAAAATGTCAACTCCAATAACTCCCGGACGATCGAAATCATGTTGAAGAAAAATATCAAACAATTTGGTACTCTTCTGACAAAAATACTCGAGGATTTCATAGATTGTTAAGAAAATATTAGGATTGAATAACTTGAAATAGGGTAATATCGACAAACATTTGAGCGATTTTTCTCGAAATCACGCATTAAACCATGAAATTAGACATATTTTCGAATTCAATATATCCTAGAGTACCTAGACGATTGAAGCTATCATGAAGGAAAAAGAATCAGGCAAGAAGTCGACTCAGTTTTCTTTTGGTCATTTACAAAAATGATTCATAAGCCTGATGTGAATCACTAAAAATAAAGTAATGCGCAGAAAGTTTTGCGCTTGAAACTAAATTGTTGACACCGAAATTATTCTCTCTCATTTTCATTCTACAATCCGGAAATGCAATTTTTTACTGGCTGGCATTTTTCAAAACATTCAAAGCTTATTGGACAACCCTGAGAGAAACCTTTTCAATCCTCGTTGGGAAGCATTTAAAAACTGATTTCCGGCTTTATTTTCTTCATATGCCCTTTCGATACAGCATGAAATTCCCCATCATTCGAAAGATGATTGTAAAAACTGTCATTCTAAATTTGTGTCCGCGTGTTAGCTTCAATCGCTCAGGGGATATTTCTGAAAATGATTGTTATTTTCTGATCCATCCCTTGTATTACGGATTTATTTTCAACTATTCAGTGAGCTTTTTTTTTGATAATGGTATATTTTCAGCAGCGGACCGTGATTGATAAGCTACCAAATTTTTTCTCGGAATTCCCGTATATTTTTTTTCTCTGCTGATTTTCGTTGAGAAAGGTTTTTTTTCTGGCTTCGTGATGCATTTAACGGGAGGAGGGAATAAAATCTAATAGAAAATTCAAGTCCACGCTTCCTCGACCACCCAAGGAAAGCATTGAGACTTCGTTTGCGAAGTGTGAAACCCGTTCGGTGTTCAGGAACTGTGAAGAGAGACGCTCTGAGCTTTTTCTAAAGCCATTTCTTTATACCTTTTTATAAGTAACTGTTTTTATTTTTTACCAACTCGACAAACTCAGCGTACTTTCAAAGCATCTGCCAGTGATTTCAAGTCCCACGTTGGAGGTACAGTAATACATTTGAAAGAAGGGTTACGGTATTTCATCTTGTGTTCGTGACTAGGAACTGCGGAAGTCTTGGAAGATCCGGAAGAATTTGCGGATAATAATCGACTTTGCTCGCTATAATTACTTCCGGAAAATCTAGTCAACCTTCCTATTTCTTTGTGTATTAATTTAGATACACGGGACACTGTCCGGGGCTTCGTCAAGTCTTCGGTGTCACGTACGGGGAAGCAACCAGGAAGTTGATACGGGTAAATCTTTTTGAACATCTTGGCAATTTTTCATCTTGCTCAAGACATTTCATCTACTTTCAAAATTATGTTTTGACGTGTCCTGAATAATTCCAAACACGATAGGAATCTTTGAAAATGTAAAATTGACTTCGTTCGACCGTAAAGCTCTATTCTTGAGCTATTTGGAAGAATAATTTCATAATTTTAATATTTATAAATTTAAGATCTTCGGAAGAATAAAATTGACTTCGTTCGACTATAAATCTCTGCGCAGCTTAAGATACAGTAGTTAGAAGAATAATTTTACGCAAAAGCAAACATATGCTTTTATCCATGAAATATCGCCGGAGTTTTAAAATGTGAAATTCTATGACCTTATATCAATAAGAATATATATTTTATTTCAAGTATAGAAGGAATCTAAAGACTTCTAGCGTGTATATGAATAGGGCAATTTTATAGACGCTAAGGTTTAATCCATTGCAAAGTACTTCGCTGTTCGAATGAATTCTCCTCATGTAAAAATAATTATCTGCACAAAATGTACTTACGCTGAAAGACCTGCTGTTGCGAGAAGCAAATTACCGCATTTCACAAGTGTTCTTCCTCCAACTTTCTCCGAAAAATGAAATCCATCATCATTCCAGATTTTTTTTTTCTCTGGCTTTGCGTATTTCAATATTTCAGCAATGTCGCTTGAACGATTTTCTTCAACACGAAAGAATTAACTTGGGTTGGAAAACTATTCATTTCCGCAATGCCCCCATTTTATTCAATTTTTTATTCGTTTTATCGAACTAATTATTCCCGCGGTCGTCTGTCAAGGATGATGATAATTTCTCCTAATGAGTGATTCCAGATTCGAGTCCATCTCGGCCATTAGCTCAAGAATACGATCACATTTAAATCAAAACTGGATTTCTGAGATTCGGGTGATGAAAAGAAGTTCCTAAAAAGTTCCTCTCGTCAATCTAAAAGATTGACCCCGCTTTCCAAGTACCGTAATTATCTGCGGGGATTTAAAACCGTGTACTCTATTTAATGGTTGTGGACCGTGAACTTCACAAAGTACTGGAGGTTTTTCGTGCAACGCATTCAGCATAAAATTATGCGGAGCTTTGCTTGGAATGAGTAATTACTCAAGGAACTGCGTATTGGTTACGCAATCGAGGAAACGCAAGTTTTCCATTGATTTTTTATCTTCAAAGGAAACGAATCTTAGACAGTACTATTCTCTAATACCGTGATGGTCATAATAATTTTCAGCTTTCCTAAATTACGTGATCTTTCTCATACTCTAAAAAAGGAATTGTTGTACTTCGGGCAAAATTATTTTCAACCATTCGGTCCGCAGACGCCGTAAAAAATAACACCCTGGGAATGCATAAAGGTCGAGGATTTATTTACTTACAATTCCCCACGAAAGTAGCCTAAAATTTTGAATAAATGTATAACATTGTGTCGTATTTGCGGTCCAATTCTAAAGAGCATATATATTTTTCAAATTTAAGCAGTGAAATCTCGCCTGTTTTTTTTGCATTTTTTTTTTACATAAGATAAGGATTTTTTAAATTTTCATTTTTTCGAAATGAGGTAAAGCATTGTTTTTCATGATTTTGCACACGGAATATATTCGTTGCGTCGAGTACGGTACATTGTGCAGTAATTTCTCCATTACGCTGCATGAAGTTGAACGTGTGTTCTATGTTTTTTCCTTTGCTCAAAAATGTGCTCTAATATTTCGTTGGATTTATCCTAAATTCGGTTACTATTCTCGCGCTTTCCTATGGCATCGAAACGAAACTATCCACGTTACTGAGTCGTAAATTGCTATCATATGATGCTGTGATAGTCAACAGAAGCACTAATTTTCGTCTCAGAAAGGCAATCAACTGTTTCAAGTCGTGGTCGGTGGAACAAAATAAAAAAAAAGCTGCCATGAACCTTTTGAAGATAAATAAAACTGGAAGTGGAGAAGAGTTTGTGGGATAGGGAAACTCAAAAATGCTGATTGAATACTGTGACAAAAACTATACAATACTGTAATGTAGATATATATGTATATATATATAATTTATATGTATTTGAACAATTGAAGCTCTCCATCTGTAATTTGTGGTACGGGATAATGAAAAGTATCAGTTCATTTTGCGTGCCAATGTCAGACCACATGGCCCTCAAATACCAGGCGATTTTTTATTGTACTGTACATTTAAATCATTCAAATTTTTTTTAATGCGTAAAATACATTGCAAATTATGCGAAAAAGAGAAAAAATGGCATTTTCTAAAATTGAATTCGAAAATACAGTACTAACTACAGTATTCTGCTCTTCATCTAAAATTCTAAAGCGTTCCATTTGAGTTGGACGCCCTAATTCTCAAAGAAGTGGCATATATTTTTACTTTGTCCGATTCTTGGTAATTTCTTCGATTTAAATTATCCGAAAAGAAATCAAACTAGCAAACAAAGTAAATTTGTCGGGAAGTTCACTTGAGCGGCTCGGAAAAAAAAGGGATAGAAGAAAATTTTCAGCTGCAAAATTACCTTGAATTTTAACAGGAAAGCGATGCTCAGTTCAGTATTCTGAAAAATATTCGCCTTCAATTCATAGGAAGTAATCAAAATTGCCAAGAAGTTATAAAACCGTGTTGGGCATGGTTAACCTCGAAGGCTCCGAGAGAATGAAGCTCAAGAAAAAAATCCATACATTACAGTATTTCAGTTCTAAAAAAAACGCTGTATATTTTACAAAATAGCGGAAACAAATCTTACGTATCGGTATAAATAGTCTGCGCAGTTTTCTGGAACCTCACGGATATCTGAAAATTCAGTTATAATCCAAAAATAATAATAATAAATGGCGTACAGCAAAGGCGGTCTCAGTCGGCGCCAGGGAACCGTTTGCGTCGGTCGCGGGAGTCCTCCGGAATCCCGACGTCGGCCACCACGTGTTTCAACGTGACGACGTCGTCGCCGCCGCCACCGCCGCCACCGTGGTTCCCGACGAACCTGGTTCTCCTCAATGCCCAGTCCGACTCGGATGATCAGCGCAGTACGTCGTCGAAAAGCGACGGCGGGTCGACGCCAACTGGCGTCCCGATGACGTCCCGAAGTGTCGTCAAGGAAGCAATTATCGGGTACACGGGTCAGTAAAAACTTATGCGAACCCTGTTGTGATGGAACATTTTAAAGAAAATTATCCGATTCCTCATAATTTTTATTCATTGTACGCATTTTTACACGTAGTCTAGAATATTGGTGCTATAATCGATCAACTTCCGTGAAATTTAAAGCTCAGTGCCAAATTTTGTGATGAAACAATCGTTTAACGAGATCGACTTAAAATCCCTTGGCGTATTTTTCTTCGAGTAAAATGCAAGGGAAATTTCAGCGTCCATTCCTTTGTAAAAATGCCATAATTTTAAGGAAAAACTATATTTCAATTCATATTTGCGTTTTGTTCTATCATGGAAAATCATGACTGAATTATCAAGGTTTTTTAGCACGTTTTTAATATTTTTTTTCCACGATCGATGTCCTGGCTCGTGCAGTTTACTTCTTCAGTGATCAGTCGAATTTTTGATCATTTAAACGTGAACTGCGAAATGGTCACTTACGCATTCACTTTCAATTTAATTGAAATATTCGGTAGCACACAGACTGCCTGCAAACAAACTAACAAAAAACTTTGACATGTTCTTATTCATTTCTTACGATACTGTATTTTCCTCAATGAATTTCCTGGCATATGTAATTTAAACTTTGCGTGATATATCGAGACATCAGTCGCATTTATGATCATTAAAACGTGAACTGCCAAGATGAGAACACTTCCAGATCATAACACGCGTGTCAGAGCTGCGAAATGCTTATTTATAGATTCACTTTCAATTTATTTGAAATCTTTGGTAGCTCACAGATTGCCTGAAAATAAAAATAAAAATCGTGTGGCTTGTGCCCTATGAAAATTTGGATTTCTTAGCATTTCAACCAGGATGCGCAAGAATGCAGACATATACGCTCAACTCTAAAATCCCCAGGCTGAAAAAAAAAATTAAAAAGCGACAATTCCGTGATTTTTTTTTCGAGATTTCAACAAGTTGTTTTTCCACACTGTGTTTTTTACATAAGGCAACGCCAAAATTTCCAATACAGGGACCTGAAGGGAAGTTCAAACCTCTTTGAATGCCGTCCCGTTCGTCTCTTACAGCGCTCTTCAACCGGTACAGGAATGCGTGCCTAGGTTCAGAAACTGGTTGAATTTTCCCATTTTGAAGCAAGATCCCGATGGAAACGAAACCGAGCCAAAATGAAGAAATTCTATATTTGTTTTTGTTTCCTGGAGTTTGAAAAATGTTAAATGATGACCGAAGAAAAAGAAAATGGTGTTTCTTTGGCTGTTGCTGCTTTTCAACCGCAGGATTCGCGAGAGAGAAAAAAGTCGAGAATATTTGCGTTTTTTTTTTTTTGGCGGATGATTGCAGCGAAGGTTTTTGAGTGCTTCAATGGGATTCTCTTGTCTTTGCCTAATTCAGGTTTGTTCTACGCATTCTCGGAAAGTTTGGGACTAACCCACTAAATAAACCGAAATACTAAGGCTTCAACGGCTCCTTTTTTCTACACACTCCTTCTTACGTAGCAATTAGGACCTCACTATTGACGTCCTTAAAAATGCTGCTCGCAACTAACTAACATTTTGCTCTTCAGCTCATGCTTTGAGACAAAAGGGAATTTATTTTCACTCTTAATTGACGTTGATCTTCAAGTTTATCCTCGTTTTTTGCAGATAATCCAATCGAACAACGACAAGCTTTTGCTGATCATACTTATTACAGTATCCATCGGCGATTGACCTCCGTACAACGTTAACACGCCAAAAAAAAGTGCTGATACGGCAGATCTTCATATTATTAAATCAATATTTTACAATCCTAATATTTTTTTCACCGATTTGAACTTTGTTCTTACTTTATCGTAGAATCGAAAATTCTATAGATCCCGATTTTCGGGCTTTCTTTGCTGATTAAAATTGACATTTTGAACTTTTTGTGTCACTTAGTTGATGGAAAAAGACCTTTTCAAAGTATCTTAGCCGATTGAAAAAAATATTTTAATTGACTTTAGCTCGGAAAAATTAGATACGACGATTTCCGAAATTATACATACAACTTTATTCACGCAAACATTCATCCTTACAAAATCAATGACAGGAAGTTAAGTGGGCGGAAAATGTTAAAATCCGGAAGACGAGAAATCATTCGGACAATTCCTCTAAATTTAATCATTCAAGTCAATGTACAGTATTTTTGCCGGAATACAGTGAGGTAAAAATTTAAAGTTGCCGCGGGAAATGAGCCCTTGTAATTCTTTTACTCTACAGTACTTAGTATCCGCATATTCGAAAAAGCCAATATGAGTGATTATGATGGAACACTTATTCGTTCCTCGCATCATTTGTTACATATCCACGTCAAGAAAATCGTTCAGAAATCAGAGAGATTATCCTCCGCTAAAATTTTCTCAGCTCAACTGAATCCCGTTTGATCAATGAAACCCCTTTTCCGCAACCCCCCGCTGAAACCCGTCGCAGTTCCCCCACGTGTATTGGGCTGCAGTGTGCACAAAATTACTGCGATGATAAGCCCAGCTGTGTTTACGAGCGATATTATGCCTCGTTTTGTCTGATTGAGGGTCATTTCGTCCTTGGCTATAATCGTTCTCATGCAGACTCCTCTGTTATTGTCGTACTAAGTATTCCGGTAAATATAATGGCCCTGGGGAAAATGGGGTCGGCGCAAAATGCCTGAACGAACATTCAAAACAAACACGATCTGACAGAAATATCCCGCTTTTTTCATTAGAGAGCACATTTCTGCGCCAGAGTATCTTTTATACATTTTTTCAGCAGAAATCCGAGATGCTGGCATCAAACTAAAAATCAAAACCAACCAGAAACTAATTCTTACAGTTAACTATTAAAAATACTCGCCCATACAATGAAAAAAAAGCTCCACGGTCAAGTAAAATCCGTTTCAATAAGAACAGTGTCGTAATAAAGAGTGGACGGCGTTTTAGCAGTCCTATTAGGATTAAATGTTGTTCGCACGAAATAAAGTTGTCTTTCATCGCTCACCTTAACTATAATTTCTGGAAGAGCTTCCAGGAGGGAATGGAATAATTACTCGTGAAGTCAAGGTACCAATTGATAAAATAAATTCAGATTTATTCCAAAAAATAATTCGAAACATGGCATAATGACGTGAAATCTCGCCGCAGATTGCCCCAGAACCTGTTGGAGTACACAATTTTTTTTTTTCAATGAGCGTGGTAATTCCACTTAATTACTTTAAAAGCTTATTGGATTTAGTGCAACCACGGTATGTCACTGAACTGTCGTACAAGTCAGCTAGACGCACTTCCAGACTGTTTACGGAGCGCTCATGACGCGTTGCAATTGACCCGCAAATTCCTAAAATTCCGGCCAGGATTGATAAAGAACCTGCGACCAGGGTTGTCATCCCCATGGAAGAGAGCATTGCTCCTTTACAACCCTGAAAAAAGAACAGGAGAAAATAAATCAAGGTTGTGTTTTGATCAATTAACTTTTATGTGACGTCATATCACGAGGAGTACAGTATATAGTACTGCTGGAGTCCAATTTCCGATTACGGCATTCATCAACNCCTGAAAAAAGAACAGGAGAAAATAAATCAAGGTTGTGTTTTGATCAATTAACTTTTATGTGACGTCATATCACGAGGAGTACAGTATATAGTACTGCTGGAGTCCAATTTCCGATTACGGCATTCATCAACGGCTGTATTCGAAGAAAATAATAAACGATTTTCCCTTTCCCGTTTTTCGCATTTTGAAAGCTTAACAAATTTCTCCCTCCCGCAGGGTTACGTGAGTAATACATGTGAACATTATTAATATTGTATACACATACCTTCGAAAAACGATATTCATAAGATTTAATTAATTCATGTTTAATTTGTGGGTTCAAGATTTTAAACAAAATCGGAGTATACTTCACGAGCGCATTATGATATTTTTATTGATGTGGTACAAAATAGGGCCCAGGAAAGGTAACAGCAGTGATTCAGTAATTACCCTAGTATGAACCCTACTTGTGAAGGGCTACGGATTCAGCGGCGTCACGAGCACTTATCGCTGTAGATGTGTCGTTCACGTTCCATTTTACAACCGACGCTAAGGCGACCTACCCCTACAGTGATTTCGTCGCCGAGGTTGAGCCGCGGTACTGAAGTAAGGCCGCAAGAGCTACAACTAAACGTCGAAAGGTAATCCAACGTTTCGACGAGCAGGAGGAAAAGGTGAAAAGTGAACTTGATATGTAGCATACCTTCGTACGTAAAGTCGCTCTTAGGCTTGATGAGTTTACAAAATGAAATTTACCGTGCACAGCAGCCTTTGATTTCTTTGCTGCTTGTTGACGAACCATATTGCCGATTTTTCGAACAGTTTCTTTTGCGAGAATGCTCGGTGCCCCGAAGTGTCCTTGCAGGTAGAAATATTCACTCCCATCGCTGTGGAATACTTATATTTTAGTTGTACACCCAATATTCAGAAATTTCAACAATAAAAAAATCCTCGACACAGAAATATATTCTCTTTTCTCCGGTCAGTGGGCAATTGAAAATTATCCGTATACATACAGTAAATTCGTGTTACAATTGTTGCAGCAATACAATGTTTTCAGTATAAAAAATTTTTTTTTGAATCCTGGCATAAATCCTGTAGGGTACATATTACTGTATAAAAATCGTGTTACAACAAACTTGCTAATTCCAGTGATGAACATGCTCTGATTTCACAATGAAAATCCTCAGTGAAAAGAGACGATCTCACATTTTCCATTTAAAATGTGACTGGTTCTTGGGACATAAGGTGGAATCAAGGACAAAAATTATTTAAAATTCACCTGAACATCCTTTCTTTCAAACATTGTCAATGGGGTAGGAACAATTGCAGTAGGGGTGGTTAGATACAAAAAAATGAACCCAGCAAAACTCGTAATAAAATGGGGTTTGTATAATTGAGAAACACTACTAATGTAAAATTGTAAGCTTTTTGGTCCACCCTTAAAAATATGGAAGAATTGCTCAGCAAAACTTGAAGTCAACAAACAGTGTGTGATAGTGTTCACCTGTTGATCAGAGTAAAAGCTTATTAGTGTCATTAAAATTTCATTTTGAAGATCAACATTTTTAAACATTGAAATGCTGTATAAAAAAAGCCACAAAAGGAAGATGTTGAATATATGCAGGCCTAATTTGAAGAAAATCTTCAAATCAATCAATACTTTTGAAAATCTTATTATAACAAATTATTCATTACAACAAACTTTTTCTGAAGTCCCCCACACATTTGCTGTTACAAGATTTTACTGTAGTACTTCAGGAATTGCAGTAGTTTCTGAAATTCTGACAGGCATCCAGCAGACTCTCATTTGGATCCAATCCGCATCTCGAGATCCCACAGTAATTAAACCAAAAAATTTAGTAGATTAAAAAATTAATCTAAAAACCACATTTTCAAAAAGCAAAAAATAACCTTTAATGGGGTGTGCATCTATTTCATTTCACTTCTTCCCATCAATCTCCATGTGCACCACGTTTAAGGTTATTTTTTGCTTTTTGAAAACATGGTTTTTTAGATTAATTTTTTAATCTACTAAATTTTTTTTTGCTTTTTAGTCTTACTTGAAAAACGTGGTTTTTTAGATTAATTTTTTAATCTACTATAATTATTTTATTCTTCAAAAAAATATTCTTATAATTTTTCTTTTCACAAAAGATTGCATTGTCATCAGTTTCTAAGCTATCCTGAAAGTTTCAGCTTGCTAGCTAGTCGGGAAGTGAGCAAAATTTGAGTTGCAAAATTTGATCCGGACAAACAAACGGACAAGAAAGCGAGTTAATAAAAACGTGTTAAAATAACTTGCCGGCAAATAAGCTGTTTCTACAATGATTTGGTATTGTCGCAATACTTTAAAAAAACATTGCCAAAAAATAAAAAAGTCTCACTTGGCTCCGCAACACTGAAGCGTCTCCTGAATGGCGTCTATGTAAGCTCTATTAGTCTCGGATCCGTCGACATAAGCTAATCTAGCTCTGGCTTTGAAGTCCTGCTCGAAACCTTCAGACTCGAGTTTATGTCTGGATGTGATCATTCCGACACCGACTGACAACACAGCAGCAGTTAAAATGGTCATCGAAGCCACACTCCACCACAAATACGTCGGCTGTTCGCTCCAGGCTGAATAAAAACCTGCGAATACAGTAGTTGTTTCCATGAGTCTGCTATTTGGTAAAAAAAAAACTAAAAGGAAAGTGTGTATATACCGCATCCAGCAATGATGAACAAGGCAATTGCGACCATGATTTCGACGACCGAAAGCGACAGGTTGAAGCGGTATTGCATGAGACAAACCACACCCGCTGCCAGAACAGCACAAGCACAGATCTAATCCCAAGAAAATTAATCAATCCATCAATTTTCATGATTTCTTGCGCATTTTCAGTGGACCTCGGACTTGTCAATTGAATCACGAGCCAGCTTACAGAATCGGAAGAAAATGTTTTCTTAGATTTATCAGTCTCCTAATCCTCAAATTTAATCCTGGGAGTGAAAACTCGCAGAAAAATGAAATTGTTTTTACGAAAAAAAAATGACGGAAAGGGGAAAAAATCTTGAGGAACCACTTTTTTTTTAAACTCCCACTGTACATTTCGCTAATTTTTCTTAGCTTCAAAAACTTGAAGAGAATCATAGATAGATTTTCGAGGAACTTTCAACGAGGTAATTTGAGACTTCAAAATTGCTCGAGAAATATTCATTCGCAATTTACAATTGCGAGGATTCTGAGGGAAATTCTTGTTTCAACTGTTAAGCTGCGATAGTTCGAAGTATGTTCTGATTGCAAGTGCGATAACTTCTAAAAAAATAAATAAATAAAAAACAATGTTGAAGATATGTCAGTTTTTTCCGCTGTCAGTCCACGTACGTACATTTAATTTTTTTAATAGTTTGCGTTGAGGGATACGAAGATTACTTTGAGACATTTTAGCGAATCAATAGACCTCGCTAAAAAAAGCAATCCTATAATTGCTAAAATTTAATCCTGAAATCAAAGCAATCTCATCATAATGTTCGCGTGTGTGCGGCAAGAAAATAAAATAAAGTGCAGGGATGGTTGAATTTGTTTTTGCCTGCACTTCGTGCAATGTTTCTAAAATCGGATGAAAAATATCAGGGATTTATTTATGATGTGACATAATTCCTGAAATATTTTGGAGTGAAACCAGTGAAGACGTGCAGACTTTCCCTCCGCACAGCATAGGTCAGATGAATTAAACAAATTGTAATCAGGATTTTCTCTCACAGCAATCAGGGTCATTAAAACGAGTGCCAAACTTCTAGCGGCTGCAATGACAGATTCATGCTTGGTGATGGAAGAAACCAGGCACTTTTGAGTTCCACTTTCCATGGGAAAATCTTCCATATCCTCAATTGGCTCACATAGGGGTTGGTACTCAGCTTGGTCATCTCCGGTTCCTGGTCGGGGTCGATTTCTGTCATGGGTAACAGCAGGAAATTGAATTTACTCCTTACAACGGGACTAGTTCAAATTTTTAAGGAATCGATGAATGCACGCTTTCACTCTAAACCAGCGCGTAGATAATTTTTTATTCATTTATAACATGCTGTCAAACTTTGCTGCTATTGCTACTAATGAGCTTGAAATTCAAGTTGATCGAGCCGATAGTATTTCTGGCAAGAAAAAAAAAAAAAACGGTGCGGATTTTGCAGTGCACAACAACGAATATTTCACAGGACTTCGAAATGACGGCTGCATTTTGGACGCATTCTAGACGGACTTCTGCACGCCAAAAATATCACAGCGTCAATGTTTTGGTACTTATATTCGTTCTTCCATTTTCCTGAATGTAATCATTTTTCTGACGTGAAAATGTATTTTCAACTAGCCAGATTTTCTCAAGCTTGCTCAATTTAGGAATAAATAAGGGACGTCCGATCAAAATGCCATAAAGCTTGCGTAGTACTCAGGTAAATACGGTTATCACTTTTTTTTTAAATATTAAGTGCTCACTTCATCGCTTCCATCCGAGCTTTGATGGCAAAAGGGTCATTGTTGTCTCCGTAGGGTTCCAGCGGAGGCTGATTCGCCTCGCTGACGAAATTGTCGCAGCCATACGGGTCTCCGAGAGAGGAGCTGTACCTGGACTCCGTCGCTGGTTTGCCATGACTACCCATTTTTTGGCAGTTGCGAAAATGCCGGTCACGAATCTGGATCATATGAGAAAAATCGTTTGCACATGCACGACATTTTTCTGCGAGACAAACAAGCTCGGGGTTGTCGAAATTTTTTTGTCAACTTCGTCGCAAAAAAAATAGGAACCCCAGAAGATTCAACCAAAAAATTGCATCTATATTTTCATGAAAAGCTTTTTTACCAAAACAAATCTACATGCCAAAATAAAAAGATCACGCAAAAAACGATTACAGTACTGTACTAGCATGTAAAGAAGGATTAGTGACTTGTGTAGTTGTGTGCTTCATATAGAGTGGAACCACGCATAGCTGTGAACAAGTACAGTATTTAAAAATTTCAAAATAGACTAGATTTTATCAGAAATCTTGGATTGCGATCTTTAAACACTACCTTTGTATTGACGATCATCTTGCTGATTAAGACATTTTTAAGCTATTTGGCACTAGGTACTGATAGGTAAACTTCAAATTTTCAAGTCAGCCGTTTTCTCAAGAATGTATGAAAATTGTAGATTTTCAAAATGAATTCCTATTTTAGTAATGGCTTTCCCCACATGCCGATTATAAAACTTGTTCAAACCTTTATGAACGCAACTTTAGCGACATCTTGAAATATTATTAATCATCATGAAAACGTTCCTTACCTAAGTCTAGTTCTTGGAGGAAAGATGTCGCTAATAAATCACATCATGTTCGGCGAGATTCCGAGAAACTCGTGGAATTTAGATGGGGTTAAACTAACACCAGCACGGGCACTAATATATGCCCGCGCATGAAAGGGTTGCTGGTGATTTGTTGGGCGAAATAAAAATTTTCTCCTACTGGGGATTAACTTGCGAAGGGCCGGGATTTATTCAAGGAAAGAAAGCATAAGGTATAGAGTAATCCGTAAGGACATTCGCTTCGGACGCAATTTGTCCAGGTCCAACGGAATTTCGCATCGTTGAAGGTCATTATTTTTTTTATACGTATGTCACGGTGATGTGACGATGACCACATCACCCTGACATATATATATATATACAGTATATCTGTGGATATTTTTAACAGATAATTTAAAACTTACAGAATCAATTATTGCTGCATACGCGTCAGGATGTTGTGATGATGATCTGATTTTTTCTTCCAAGAAGTATTCAGTATGTCATCAAAGAAGCTAAACTTACTGCTTGTCGTGTTACTGGGGAATTTGTTTTTTGACTGTCCGGTTTAGATAACCAAACCCGAACGTGAAGTGTGTTCACTTCAGTCACCGGTAGTTGTTGTAAAGGAATGTCCGAAAAATTCCGAGTGTTGCAAGAAAAAAATGTGTTCGATGAATGATTTCTTCGCCATGAAGTTTTTCTTTTCCTTTCCGATTTTCTTGGTCACTCAACAGAAAAGTTTCTTGAATGTTCTATCCTTGGATTGTGTTGTGAGATTATAAACCCAGCCCTGATCCCTGAGTGCATGTGTATTTACTCATTAGAAAATCTTTGAAATCTGTCTTTGATTATGTTTCCGGTGATTTAATCATTCATTCGTTTCATCTTTCCCATGTATCTCAAGGTTAAAATGACAAATGAAAATACTCGGCTAGGCGTGACCGAAAATAACGATATTTCGTTGCTACCAGTTGACGGCGATTCGGCGAATAACGCGGAAATTGAGCAAAATGCTCTTCCGTCAGGTAAATTGTTGCTGTGATTAAAAAGAATCTCCATAAAAAATCAACATTCAAGTAAAGTATAAATCGTGCTTTTCAGGACTAATTGTCCGTCGATGCTGAATTTCGATGCATCGAGAGTTATCGACAACTGACAACGTTCACTAATTCGGGCCGTTTATTTCCCTCTTATACAGTCACGAATTCCGCTTGAAAATCCACGTCAAAGTCGAATTTTACGTGAGAAACAAGCAATCAAGTAACATAAAATAATTTTAAAAAAACGTCAGAACTGAAAGCTGAAATCGTGATCACTTTTGTGCATTGAATTTTTGCTTTTTTCTATGAAGTACTGTACTGTATTTGAATTCTGGGATTCAGTATTTGTCCATTTCTCGGAAACGTCGATATATGTCAGGTCGATTTTGAATGCTTATTTTAATTTTATTTTATATCATCTTGGCGATGTAATGAGCCATATTCCGCTAAAATTCGGATGACAAAGTCCTAATTTGATTCTAAACTATTTTGAGATTGTACGTTTTTGAATCCCTATAGCGGCATATGCGAATGCGGATTTAATAATACTGTATTGTAACGGCAAATGAGGATTATCGCGGCTTTCATTTATACAGCTAAGACAAACAGGTTTTTTTTTCTTGCCACTTTGAAAGCATTCAATTATTTGTTAAGGCTTAATTTGTTCTTCATTTTTTTTCATTTCTTTAGGTGATGATCAAGCAGTGAGGTCACTGAAAAAAAAACTTTTGCTTGCGTCGATCCCGTTCTTCGTCAGCTTGGGAGTTCTCTTCTGGAAAATCTACCAATTGATCACGAGTGTACAAGATTACAATGCTTCCCCGACTGTTTCACCTGAAATCATCAGACACATCATGCAAACGCACAACGCAACACGAGTTTTCGTTATTTCGAGAGACCAAAACTACACTGTTGATAGTGACAGTGTGTGGAATTCTTCCTGACGAAAAGACAATGTGATTCGACGATTTGTTAAAATTGTATTACTCGGGATTCCTTTGGATGTGTCATGAAGAGATGATGCCATGACAACGCAACGGAGAACAAATGACGACGAATATAGAATGCGAGCAGAGGGAAAATGACGGGAAGGAAAATGCCAACCCGAAAAAGATGCAATGAGATAAAATATGACGCAAGACGCGAAATCTGGAAATTTTATTTTAAAAATTAATTCATAGAATAAATCAAATGGAGGGAAAATGACGAAATGAAATACTGTAGTGTACATGTACTGTACAGTATATAAAGTATGCTGAAAACCTAACATTTGAACATGAATATCTTTCCTAGGCATTTTAAAAACTTGTGAAGGATGTGACACTCAAATTCATTTTCGAAGCGAGACCAAAAGGCTATTAACAAAATGTTTTTTTATTTATTCCTAATGTAACTTTTTTTCCCCTGAAAACTTTCATCTCCGATGTCTTCTTCACATGCCATCATTTCTACCTGACATGTATGTGGAATCTTGGTGCCAAAAGCTTTTGTGTGACTAATGGAAAAGTTGACACGCTTTTTAAGTTTTGTGACGCAGTTTCCTGAGAACAAAAAGCTTTCGAATTTACGCAGCAGGACATTTTACAAGCTTGCACTTCGTATTGGCCGTTTTTTTTTATACCGGAAATAACAGACCTATGCTTTTTGAAGAAAAAAAAAGAACAACAGTGTTCATGTCTCATTTCAAGAGGAGTGTTTTTTTCGCATTTGCCCTCAAGGCAGGTTTTCGCTATCATTCGTCGGGTTTGCGACATGGGGCTCTTTTCCCTGAAAGCAGAAATGCGCAGGTTTTTTTCCTCTCATGAGTTACGGAGAAACCGGCTTTTAGCAACACAAAAACACACAAAAGCCTTTCAGGCATATGGTGAATTATTTCGGAGAAAAGATTCTCGTGAATCAGTTTAGTCTCGAAGCTGAGGTCGCATTCTAAAGATCTCGGTGCATATTTTTTCGTGAGAAAGTAAGAAAAAATAAAACGGAGAGAGGAAAAAACCCCCGAATGATGTGCATCCCTAAAAATTCTCCGTCGGAAAGTGACTTTCTGAATTTAAATTTTGCCGTGCACAACTTTGGAAATATCCCAGTTACTCCCGAGGTGCAAACGAGTGAGGGTGCAGACGAGCCACTTGCTGTGCCGTATTCGCTATGGGCTTATCCGTCAGCTATCGCCGTTCGTAAGTTGTTCTGAGGTTTTTTTTTTTCTTCCAAAAAAAAAAACATCTTAGGCCAATTCCCGTGCTTACTACACAAGAAAGCGTTATCGGCTATTTTACGGACCTGCCTCGAAAGTGAGAATTTAAAAACTTCCAATTTAGCAACTCTGATCCCAATTCTGAAGGGGTCTACCTCCTCAGCACTTGAATTAAAAATGGTCTCGTGCAGCGGATTTGTTGAGTAAAATATTAGAACAGATTTTTATTTTCAAAATATAGTGCATTTCTTAAGTAGTAATGAGCTTGACATTATTTTAAACGCCCTCGAATATGAGGCGCTACGATAAATATCTGAATCCGTCAGACTTTTTACTCAGCCTTTTGAGTAAAATTGTTCGTCATCTGTATTACAGTACTTTAATTCAAGTATACAGGTGCACATTTCTTTCGAAATTAAGAAGCAAAATAGAGCGTGAAAATGTAACAAATTTAATTACGAACTCAGAAAAAGTTAAGCTAGCTATGCATTATGCTTGATTTTAAGAGGAAGTGCGTGACTTGTTTTCAACAACAAAAATTTTAAAAAGGAAACAAAATTACGAATGACTCAATTTTGGTTCAATTCCATTGAAAATGTAAGTGGTCATATGTTTTATTTTTAATCTTGTGATTTTTCTTTTACTAAAATGGGGTGCTTGTCAAATTCGGAGATGGGTTTTTATTCTAATTTTAAGATGAAAAAAACCTGGCGCATGTTTTACTGAAGGGTGAGTGCTGGTACTTGAGTAAATATGGCTTTACAGTTATACCTTTCTAACTTAGAAACACCTTAATTCAAAAA